TACTTAAATATTATCAATATTCGAATTATATTCAAATTTAAAAGGCATTATTTCAGTTGGGGGGAAAAAAGCTGTTGGCTTCTCTCCTGAGGCCACAAGAGGGCGCATCGAGCAAAATATTATGCACGTTTCTTCAAAGCATAATAAAATAACACGGCTATCTTTGAAAAAAGTGCATAATGTTTAAAATAATGTTTATAAACCATATATAATTAATAAAGTTGCTTAAACAATTATATGTATAGTTTAATTCAAAGGACCGAAAACCAATCACAAAGAGTACATTCTTCATTTAAAAACTTGAGATGCAGTGGGATGGGGAAAAAACGCCATAAAGTCTTGAGACATGTTTTTAAAAAGTTGAACTTACATGAATTGTACATGGCTTTCTAAACATGCGGCTCTCTTGTGCGAGACGCGAGTGCAAGGTGATAGATGTCCCCCTAGAAAATGTGATAAATAGGCATCAAATTTGAAATGTAATGCAGGGAATTCTAGGAATGTCAATTTACGGTTGTTCACTGTAAATTATACGGTCTTTTTCACTTCCAAAAACGGTATACTACCGTAAAATGAATGTCCAATACAGTTTTTCACCATATATAGTAGGGGAATTTACCGTTAACCATTTAACAGGTTTTTACTGTAGCATTTTTACAGTCTTTTACCGTTAAATTCACGGTCATTTTTTACAAGATGCAGATCAGGGGTGTGGGAACAATTTTAAAATGCGGTGATGCAAATCAGAGGTTCTGGGAATACTCAAATTCCATCTGAATTATTCAGCCCTGGAGAAATAACATTTTTGCGTCTTCTGTTAAAAAGCAGTAATGTAATGTCAGAAATTTGATTACAACATGAAATATTCTCAAGCAAATCAAGCTTGAGCACAGTTAATTCCTGCTAGCAACATGAAAACAATGTCATTGGTTTGGTTGAACAAAAAGTACTGTTCACTGGTTATTATTTAAGTCATAACATTAGTTCAAAGACCTCAACCATGCTGGGTAAAGCAGTGGTGAGATTCATGTTGTTTCCGTCAGTGTCAGAGAACATCACTTACTGGCTGGCCTGGTATAAATAATAAAAAATAGTGTTTAGCTGTTTTTGTAGGCTTGGTCTTATCCATGGAAACTATATTTACATTAAATTATAAACCACTGTTTATCTCCAAACTGCTTACATCAGCTTCAGATAACAGCAGTTTATAGTGTGGGCTCATTGCATCAACTGCTTAGCTTTTAGTTTGTGTGTTTGTTTTCCGTTGACGCTTGATTATTTTAACTCTCTATAGTTATAAGTAAAGTCTTGTGATTTTTTTTACACTGCCCAGATATACAACAACTTTCAAAACAGCATGTTATTTGTGTTTTATCATGATGATAATGCAGATCTCACAGCATCGCTGTCTTTCTTTTTCTCTCTGGTCTTTCCCGTAATGCATTAGCTATCTGATACCATGCAGCTTTTATTTCACTCGGATGATTCAGTAATGGTCTCTAGATGGTCAAAGGGCTTGATTACTTCCTGCAGACTTGATCTCTGACAATGACAGTTATTGTTCCTCTTTTTAGTTCTCTAAAATACTTTTATGACTGTAACAACTGGAATAAAAAACAGCGCACACTTTGGAAGTCGTTGCATCAAAGAAATTGCTTAATTTGCTCTTAATATAACAGATCATATAATAAATCATTATATAAAATTCTAGCCAAACAAACAGGAAAATCTCCCCCACATTAGCTCTGAGAAATTCATGAGCACCCTCGCCCTCCCTCTATTTCAGTTTCTACATCTCTTTACCATCTCTCGCTTACTAACCACATCCTGACCACACTGTCACGAGAGACAGAATCAAATGATATAGAATTCAAATGAAATACTTCATATAATGTTACATAAACATTTTATATAAACCTACATAAATAATTTAAACACAGTCTACTTTTGGATGACATGCTTTTTGTCCGCAATATGCTTAGTCTACGGCATCTACCAGCAGATGTGATCAGGGCCCCTCACAAAACATTTTATCTTACCATTAAGAGTTCTCCTAAATAGCAGTACAAAATTTTAGCTAAGCGTTTTCTCTTAAAACCTATTCACAAAGCTGCTGAGACAAACTTTTACTAAGGAATGGAGACAAGTCTTAAGCTAAGAGTAAGGGCGGGGTTGACCTCGTTGCTATGGATGATGTCAGCATGCTTACTAACTATGCACACAGTGATTGGCTGAAAGGGGAGGAGGGGTCTCTGTCAGATTTATTCATGTAAATATTGTAGAGCACGATGTTGCCATATATAAAGGTTTTAAAAATAAAAATGTTGCCACATTCAAATAAAGATTTTAAAATGCAGGCTAAGTGTCACTAATTAAACAAGTATATGTTCAGCTAATTGTCAGCCTCTTACATGTATGCTTCTCGTAAACAATTAGCGGATCTGCATGTAAACAGCCTTTTAATTAACAGAGTAGAATAATTATGGCTGATAGCAATACATGCAAATGTAAAAAACAAAAAAACAAAAAAAACACTGGACTCAAGAACAGCTGTTACTTCTTGCCCAACTGGTTAATGAAAACAAGAATAATCAAAGGAAAATTTAGAGTTGGGATAACCTCCAAAACCAAAGGATATACCTTTTTAAAAGCTCATTATCATCCAGTGTTTCTAAAATGTTTACATTCAGAGGCAGATTGCCGGCATCAGCCATTTGAGGATAGTTTGTGGCTTGGTCTTAGTGACTTAGGAGTCCTCTTCACTTCTCCTAACCTTTCACAGATTTAGGAGCTAATTTTAGCGCTAAAACGATTTGTGAAACACACTTAGAGCAAAAATTTAGGAGTCCTAAATTTAGGATTGACACACCCATTATTTTAAAGATTTTCTCCTAAATCTGCGAGTTATGAGCTACTTTTAGCCTTAAGATGTTTCGTGAATACGGGCCCCGATGCGCATGTGCACATGTTGCTGGACATCATAGTTAGCGATTTCTTAAAGATAAATAAAGCTTTTCGACTGCAAGTCAAACAGCATGTCTGTTTTCTGCTGAAAAAAAAACAAACAGGTAAAACCAGCCTAAACTGGTTGGCTGGTCTTAGCTGGTTTAAGCTGGAAGTAGCTGGTTTTAGATGGTCTCCCAGCCTGACCAGCTAAGGAAATGGCCAAAACCCCTCTAAAACCAGCCTGATGACCAGCTAAGACCAGGCTGGATGACCAGCTAAAACCAGCCAACCAGTTTAGCCTGGTTTTAGCTGTTTTTTTTCAGCAGGGACTTAAGTCTGCTATTTTGAGCAGAAATACGGCACGCGTGCATATCCTACAAAAGTACAGATATAAAGTGCCTTGGAAAGTGTACTTGTTCAGTCCAAAGAGCACTGTAAATTGTTCAGGGGATAAGTGTACACTTACACCAGTGAATATGACGTAACGGGAACGTAGCTTTCAAGTTCATATCGGCACCAAATGAAAACATACGGAAGCCCACAGAGACCACGCGGTTTCAAGCCTTCTACACACTGCACGATTTTAGCAATCATTATAAGTCATACTGTGCAACATGGATCTAATACACTTGGGTACGACATGTACTGTATGCAGACTGTACGATGATGACACCTAGTGACACAAGAAGAATAAAACGTCATTAGCATGCGCTAGTGGTAAACAAAAAGAGCATGATGAAGCACAGTTTGGCAGTTGTACTGTTTTTGCTGAAAAAAAGAGGAAGCTGTGAAAGAGGAAGTTAAAAGAGTTTGAGGTAAGCAGTTTTAAGTTTTAGTGCCATGCCGCGTTGAACAACACGACATTTCATGTGGCATTTTTATTGGCTGGTCAGTAAACGTGGGTCGTAGCAGCAAACACACTGTGCGATGATCGTGCTGAATTTCTGACACTGTCAGAAAATGATCGCAGGCTATCTTTGGTTGCAAGACCATGACAACGGCCATCTTTGAACCACTCTTACTGTACGACATAAGACCACCATTTAGGAGCCACGATCACAGAAATCGCCACGATTGTTTCACAATACCAATCTTTCATCTGGAACAGCCTGCAGTGTAGGCGGCTTTAGTTCTCTCTAGATCATGACTTACAATCTCAACAGCTATCTTGCCAAAAATATTTTGTTATTTAACAATAATGCATGCCCTCCCCTCAACTTTTGTCTGCTTGATGACACCCCTGCAGATCTTTTCCATCATCTTCTGCGATAGGAAACCATGCTCTAAAGCCATACACTTCTGTTTTATCCTCCCACGGGGTTGTATAGGCCTATAATTTCTGTTAAATTAATTCTTCTATAAGAAATGTAATAGTTTATACCATTCTATCTGCCTTGAATCATCCTTCTTGTATTGTTCCCACAGGGCAAACCATGAGGTCTGAAAGAGATATTTTCACACCTGGAGGCTATATTTAATACACCTATAAACACATAAAACTCCATCTGCTCTGCACTCGTGACAATCAACACAAAGAGAATATGTGAGGGGAGGGTTTTTCCCATCATTACTCAACTTACGTCCTACAAAGAGCAGCTGTCAGATGACTCAATGGAACATTTCATATGAGGGTTCAATGGTGAGAAGACATGGCAAAAAGGATATTTAGAAACTTCATTATATATTAGATAAATCACGTTTTAATTTGAACTAGTTTTGAGCAGGTTAGTGAAACTGAAAACAGCCTAAATTGTAATTATTTTCCAAACAATGCTCTTGTACATGTCTTCTGATTAATGCTTATCTTGATGTTCTTCTCTCCACTTTAACTGTAAATCCAGATCAGATAATAACAACTGCAGAAATCTACAGAAGTCCATCATCAAGCATCCTCGAATCATCCGCACACCTGCTCATCTCCTTTGAATCCTTCAGCACCACAGACAATGAATCATCATGATGCATCTGCTCAAACATGAGGACTTCTGGTGACGACCAGAAACACAGGAGGTCTACTTTAGGACAAACGTTTCCCAGAGATGTTCAGTTCATCATAAACTGAGTTTCACTGTGTTGTGTGTCGATAGTTCACAGTTCTGTCCACATCCAGCAAGCCTAACTGTAAGGAAGAAACATTCAACATCACAAACATGACTAAACTTCTGAGTTGACAGGAAGTAGATGAACAGACCTTAATTCATTCCTGAAACTGTAAAGTAAATAAAGTAATATTTAAAGAAAAATCAGTCGCGATCAGTTAAAATGTTTACTGACCTCTGGCAGATCTTCCTTCTGAAGACAGTAGATGATCTGTGTGTATTCTGACATGTTTTGCTGTTCTATTATTGTCAGATCTACAAACACAGCAGCAGTACATCATTATAACAGCAGACATGAACACCAACAGCCACACACTGACTATTATCATTAGAATCACATACGAATGCTGGCTCTGTTCTGTAATGAACACAGAGAGAAACACTTTCTGTTCTGAATTTAGCCAAAATAATATTAAGTGTCAGTCTATGTATAGGAAGCGTCAGTCTTACAACGAGCAACAGATAAGTAACATCACTGACCTGAACATGTGTGACAGAACTGACTGATGTCCAGATGTTTGGTCTGGTTGCTGATGGGATTGTTGAGCACACAGCTGTAGGTGTTTTTATCCTGATATTCCACCTCCAGAGGTAGAGAGAGACTGATGCTGAGATCAGACACACTGATGCTGGACAATAAACTGTTTCCTTTGTACCAGGAGAGAGTCACATCACTCACATTCAACATTGAACACAGCAGTGAACATCTGACTGATGATGATCCTGATGATGATGAAGAACAGTTTGAAGAGTTACTGGTGAACACAGGAATGGAAAGAGGAGCTGGAAAACATTAAAGACCAAATATGTATTATAATCAACAAACTATAATAAAATTAATATGACACAAATGTTTTCTTGCGAGGCTAATCAAAAAGAAACCAGCATTTTAAATGCAAGGCTGAGAAAGAAATGAATGCTTGGAAATCTACTGTAAAACAATGACTGATCATTTGAGCAGCTATTTCATATATTATTTTAAGATTTAGTAGGTAATTTCAGTTGTAGTTTGGGAATTTTTGGGCATCATATATCATTTACAGCATTGTGAGTTCAGACTAGAATTAAACATTAATGAACACTCCTAGCATTAGTGAGAGTACAGTTTACTCACCATACACAGTAACACTGAAGCTCTTCAATGAGGTTTCTCCACTAATGATGACGGTCAGTTTATAAAGTCCAGTGTGATCAGATCTGATGTTTCTGATGGTCAGAGATCCAGTTTGATTGTCCATCAGTAGTTTGTCTCTGAATCTCCCATCATTACTGACAAAAATAAAGTTTATTTGGTCCCTTTTAATGATTTCAGCTATTCGAGTGTTTTGAGGTCCAAACGTCCACCGTATCTGATCATCTCTCTGTACTTTAACATCGGTGTGTAAAGTGACAGAATCTCCCTCCAGCACTGCCACTGACTTCACTTCATCTGTCACAGCGACAATCACACCTGAAACAAAAGTTGTTGTTTTTTCCAGAAAAACAAAAGTTGTTCAATGCAAATTAATAGTATGGAATGAATTGAATTAATCATGTCACATATACCTGAATTCAGTAAAAGCTAAATTAAAATGAAATCACTTACAGTTTGTGACAAACACAAATAGACAGAAAACAGCAGGATTTGACATCACATTCTTTAAAATGTGTCCGAAACGATGAACAACAGAGATTCAAGAAATAATCTAACTATGTTTTCTTCCGATGACTTGATGAGTCCTAAATGCATGAACACACTGCTCACAAATACAGCGTTTGAGTCCAGACCCCATAAACTCAGCCTAAAAAAAGCAGACCACAACAGATCTCACTGAAACTCTCAAACTGAGCTGCTAGTGTGTCAGAGGGTATGAAGAGCCTCAAACAAACTGATAACAGACGCTATTTCCTAAACTGTTTTGCAAGCAGGAGAGTATGTACATTTTCTGACTTTCAGAGGTTTTGTTTCTCTTACTACAATATTACATATATTATTTTCATATACCATAATCTCTCACTTAATGCTTCCTCATAATATCTCACTTACAAACCACATCCTGTCAAACCAACAGACTGTTAACCACGTTAACAGAGAAACATAGTCCAATCACATGACTCAAAATAATGTCTGATTCTGAAATTATATATATATATATATATAAACAAACAAACAAAAAAACACGAATCAGTACAGAGGGCATGTTTTAGTGTGTTTATTTTTCAGCAAATACAAACCACTTCTAGAACCACTGAAATTACACCACGACAAAAACATCAAGTACAAAAGAACAAACTTGCTTCAGTACAAGTTTCAAACAGTTTCAGTGAATATTGTCAATAATCAATACTATCAAGAAGTAAAAATCAGCATCAACCCTGTTTAGCTTCAGTGGGCGACCAGTCTTGAGCTACAGTTACAGTTATGTCAGCATTCTTTAGAAAAATAGAACATTTACTTGAGCAAATAAGTGACATTCTGCAATATGACATTCAGGAACATATTTGGATTGAAATATTCAATTCTTACTGAATACTACTTAGGTTAAACTTAAGTTGCTTGGCAATTATTGTGCTACAATGTTTAAAGCAGTGTACATTTATGGAGCTTACACCAAATAGCCTATATAACACATCAGTAATCAAAACAATCTGAGATTACTGTCTTTAACTGATTGTACCGACACTGGCAGGCAGCAATAAATAAAAATGACATGTTTTAATGATATTAGCTTTAGCACAATTGTTTTCAGCTGGGTTGTTCAATTGTCTTCTTCTGAATACATAGATAAATCAGTTCTTAAAGCTGTCGGTTGATAAAGACGCTTTTTGTCACACAGATTGTGTAGTTGCGATTATCTACCAGCAGGGGCCGACTTGATCATGCTACATGTAAAACTCTCAAATATTCTGCAGATAGACGCAGGGGTGCCCAAACTCGGTCCTGGAGGGCCGGTGTCCTGCAGAATTTAGCTCCAATTTGCCTCAACACACCTGCTGGGAAGTGTCTAATACGCCCAGTAAGAGCTTGATTAGCTGGTTCAGGTGCGTCTAATTGGGGTTAGAGCTAAACTCTGCAGGACACCGGCCCTCCAGGACCGAATTTGGGCACCCCTCAATGATTACATGTATATCTAAAAATACTGTATACATTTGTACTCTTTATGTAGCTCATGCTGCTGGTTCTTTTTCTGATACTTCTTCCTTGTTTTGATCTATTTTTGTCCTGTTTATCATGATGGTTCATAATCAGAGCTAGGATAGTAATCATGTGGATGGGTGTGAAAACAATACTTAACACAAACCACCAAAAATCACGTCTAGACACGATTGTGTAAGGTATGAAGCTGTGCAGCTGCAGACACGATTGAGATCAAAAATTAACGGAGCGTCTCATTAGGTTGCCTGTTGTGAATACTCTAGAATTCTGTTCTTTCTTTCTTATTTAAGATCTATTTTTTAAGTATTTGTAAGATGAAATACACTCATTTGTAGTAACCAATGCCCACAACCAGTGGATTTGCAGTTCAACATTGAGGCTTGAAGCTTTGTTACACACATATGCCCCAACATGCTCTGGCCTGTAATAAGATGAGCTGTACAATAACACAGTGTGAATGATCATCATCTGAAAGCCACCTCTGAATACTCTGTCTGATTCTGTCCAGTAGTCTCCTGTAAGAAAAGACACACGCATCAGGAAGAGAAAAACAGTGCTGTTACTACATATGCTTACAGCACAAAGATTTAGAAAAACAAAGTAGCACAAAACACACAAAAGAATACATTCCATACACAGAGAAAAGGAATACCGTGAGAAGACCAAATCCCACAAAAAAGGGAATGAAAAGCTTTAAGATCATGTAAGTACATGCACAGAGACGCAGAAGAACTGAAGCCAAAATTCACAGCCAAAGCACATTAAATTAACAGCAGATCATGAGGGTGATCATTCGAGATCTTGAATCCATTGAACAAGATCAAATGTATTTTACTATTTTAGGGCTGATTTCATTCCCCAGGCCACAAAAAAAAGAAAAGAAAAAAAAAAAAGAATCTGCACAATAAGAAAAAGCCTAGTTTTTAAATGGTTCATGCTGCAACTTCATTTGTATAAATGTGCAGAGAATAACAAACATATCTTACCGTATCCTGAGCTCTGTTTGTAGTAAATGTTGCATCAGTATAATCCAACTCTTCCACAGTAGTCCGAACTGTTTAGTAAAATTACATTTACAACATAAAAAAACACTAAAATGATTATTTTTTTCCTATTGATTATATAGGTAATACTTGCTTTCTTGTACTGCTTCTTTGTGGCTCCTGCGGCGACAGAATATCCACACAGCTAAAACTGAGATCGCTAGCAACAGCAGCAGAAACACAGCAGCAATTATACCTTTGAAAGGCACATGTGAACCATCTGCGATGAATAAGCCAAAATCAGTCATTACTGTAAATTAATTTCACCAGACTTCAATCAAGATAAAATAACAGCAGATCTAATTGGTGTAAATATTATAAAAAATGCAGCTAAAAGTTAAGTCGATTATTGATTAATCTGTCAATTATTTACTTAATTGGATAAAAATGTTTATTTTATTTCCTGTATAAAAACATTTTTAATTGACATTTTATCATGTTTTTATCATTAGATATGGTATAATATAGATTATAACAATAAAGTGTAGTTTATGTGCTAAGATACAGCACAGGCACAAATATGTGACAATGTGAGTTATTTTATGAATCATCTAGAGATAAACCGGCACAACAGTATTAACAGACATAGTTTGGTGAAAAACCTCCAGTGCTGACGTACCTAAACATGGCTGACAGAGATCAGTGATGTTGAGGTGTTTAGTCTGGTTGGTGAATGAATAAGCAACAACACAGCTGTATGAATCATCCAGACACTCAATCTCCAGAGGTAGAGAGAGACTGATGCTGAGATCAGACACACTGATGCTGGACAATAAACTATTTCCTTTGTACCAGGAGAGAGTCACATCACTCACATTCACAGCTGAACACAGCAGTGAACAATTCTGACTTGATGATCTTTCTGATACTGAAGGGTTTTGAGGAGAATCACTGATGACAGGAACAGTCAGAAGAGCTAAGAAACATGAAGTAACATTATTTAAGAAACAATCGGTTATTGAAAGAGATGTGTGTAAAGATCTTGAAACATATATCTAAAAATAAGTAATCTTCAGATGGTCCAAACTTAAACTTGATCCCTTTTGATATGGTTTATTCAGTTTACTCACCATAGACAGCTAGATTAAAGCTCTTGTGTTTGACTCCTCCATTCATGATCAGTAGTTTATAAAGTCCAGAGTGTAATTTGTTGATGTTTGTGATGGTCAGAGACCCTGTCTGCTCATCTATCTTTAGTCGGTCTCTGAATATTTTATTATATTCTTTACTGTCATATATAGAGAGGATCTGATTATAGATTACAGCTAGACGATTCTCTGAATTTTTAAGCTTAAATGTCCAGATTATCTGATCATCTCTGTGTATTTCAGTAACATCGGTGTGTAGAGTAACAGAATCTCCCTCCATCACTGATATCATCTCTGTTTCATCTGTATCAGCAGACACACCTAAAATAAAACAGACAACAACAACACATCACAGATTCTCATCTAAGCTTTCAAATTTTATTTGGAAAAAAAGACAAAATAAAGCACCACTATAATTTTTTTAACCTAAGCATTTTAAGTACATCAGACAGAGCTAAAAATACAGCAAAAGCATCAAACTTCATTTTGCCATTAGAACATACTTGAATATTTGATGTAGAGATATCGGGTAAGATTCCCCCTGGGGCAAGATGTTTTTTTTTTTTTTGGACAATAAAATTAGACTCTTGGGGTAAGACGGGCCCCTTAGAATTGACACAGAAGCCCCATTGAATGTGGCATGTTGTTACTAGTGTTATCATTTTAAAATGTGATATTTATTGTAATTAATGTGGTTATTATTCAATATTTTCATGAATTAGATGTACATTTCAGGAATCTTCACTTTTCATTAAAACCTATAGATTAATTAAGCAAAATCATTCAATTTGCATCCATAGTGTTGCAATTATGACAAATCTTCAATAAAATATTGCCAATTAAATATGTAAATACTCATATACCTGTATATGTCGTAGAATAAATTTACCTTTCAGATGAAACTCTTATGGGTCTCTGCTCTGTCTGTCATCTGTTATTCAACTAAACAGTCAAAATACAATTTTAAATAGAATAGCGGTTTTAATATTTTATATAAATGACATTTTAAAATGTATATAAATATTTTAAGAATTATATGGGGGTAGGGCCAATCTTACTCCAGTTATGGGGTAAGATGACCTATTTTGATTTTATATTTTGTGCTATACCAACAAAAAAAAAGTTTATATTTATTTAACACGTTGGCTGATGCACCATAATCCTACACATGCTATATTTGTATCTAAATATGTTACAATTTAAAAGTAAATGCACATTGTTCTTTTATAAAAAAATATAATTATGATTATATGTTAAGTCATGGCAACATACCTTAAATAAGTTTTAGTTTAATTTAAGTTGAAATGACTTCTACAGCAAATTCGATAAAAAAAAAAATGTAAGGCAACTGATTATATTGATTGTACATATACATGCAGCAAAGATGTGCATTAAGCAAAACATTGCTTGTAATAATAATCTAGACTATAGATTTAATAGATTAATGCTTAGATTACTTAGATTTCTAATAGATTAATAGAAAAATATTTTCATCTAAAAATATTTTTGAAAGGCGGTTGCAATTATTTAATGACTTTTAAGTCTGTTGCAATTCTCTCACTGTGAAATTGCTATTCTTATGGTAAAAATCTATTGGTTTTGCAGCATTGCAACAGTTATTTTGCATAATTTTATGATGAAAAACACAGTAGTCTACTAGTCATCATGACCATATCTAACTCTGCTAAAAGGCTTTAAAAAAAAAAAAAAAAACCTAAGCACCAACCCACCCAAGTTAAACTGAAAAGTTGCCAGCCCCAGGATCGTGCATTAACTGACTTGTCTGAACAGCACTAAATATGCATGCAAGACTAAGTACAAGCCATTAAAAATATAGAACTTACCACTGAAAAGCCATAAGAAAAAACAGAAAAATGCGTAAACCATCTTCTTTAACACCTCAAACGCAACATTTGCACAACAACCAGACTGATTTGCGTCTTGCCATGTGTAGGCTACACCGCTTCTTCTAGCACACCAGACCACAAGCGACTCGATTGTTGACTGCGGTGCACCTCACCTGGGGCACGTTCAAGCTCAAACCGGTGCCCAACGTTTTGCTACGGTTTCCGGGTTGAAAGACATGTTTCCTGGAAACGGTGTGCAACGGTGTGCAACGGGGTTTGAGATACGTTTTCTCTTGTTTGGTGGGTGTGTCAAAAATGTCAGCCCAATCAGCAGCAACATGTATATGAACCACGCGGTATTAAAGAGACAGCTGGCACAATGGGTCCAAGTAAAGTCGTTTACAAATGTGTCCGCTGCAGCTCGGTACACGCAACAATTGAATATATTAGAAGAAATGTTTGTCATAAAATATAGCATATCAACATGATGATGTAGTTGTTTATATTTTTAGCTTCATTGCAAGGCAAGTTTATATACCAAATTTCATACAAAATGATAATTAAGTGCTTTACATAAAAAATGAGAAAGAAGATACAAGGTATTAAAAAAGTAAGAACTAGAAATAAAACAATTTAAATTAGAATTGATTACCAGGAGATAAAAAAAGATAATTAAATGGGGTGCGTGGGGTGCGGCGGTGGGGAGATTAGTCAGTAGTATGTGAGGCTAAATAGATGTGTTTTCAGTCTGAATTTGATAAGATGTGTGCTTCCATTTCTGTTTCAGCAATCCATTTGGAACAGGCTAGTGTTCCAAATAGAAAAGGAAATAGGAAACCAAATAGAGCACAGCATTTTTGGGGGGGTGTCCAAGGTTATGTTTACCAGGAAAGGATCAACTTTCTCACAGAGAGCCTGTAGAAAAGTATGTGCAGCATTTATAGTAGAGGTTTCGGCATCCCTATGATGCTGTAAATAAGCGGACACAAATCTTGCTATGGCTGTTGTATGCACACTGATGCACAAAAAAAATATTAGCAAAATCAAAAATTTAAGCCAAGGTCATGCTATCAATAGCATGCAATGCAATAAAATTGCTTTTCTTCTCTGCAAATGATACTATGAAGAATGTGAATATTTAATTTCAAGGCAAGAAAAAAAAAAGAAAGAAAATAAAAGGCATGTAGCAGAGGGTGATCCTGGTGCCACCCCAGCATGTAATGCAAGCTTCACATTCTTCTTCTTATTATTCTTTTATGGCGGTTGACAAGCAAACAATACAACCCCTGGCAAAAATTATGGAATCACCACACTTAGATGTTGTTTACCCAGATTTTTTACTTCATAACAAATAAACGAATCACAGATATATCACACAAAACAATTTTTGTTTAATAATTCAACATTCTGGTTATGTGAAACTTACCTAAAAAAAAAAAAAGATATTAAACTCTTAATTAATGAAAATTTGTTTTCCATATCAAGTAGAGGAAAAAATATGGAATCATTCAATGTTGAAGAAAAAAATATGGAATCACCTACAAAAACACACAGTTAGTATCCTGATCTTCCTCTTGCTTTTATGACGGCCTGAATTCTTTGGGGCATGGACTTCACTAATGAAAAACAATATTCTTCATCAAGCTGGTTCCAACTTTGTCGAATAGCGGTTGACAGATCAGCTTTGCAAGATGGAGCCTTGTCATGGACCAGCTTTTTCAATTTCCACCATCAATTTTCAATCGGATTGAGGTCCGGACTGTTTGCTCGCCATGTCATTGAGTTGATATGCCTTTCCTGAAGAAAAGCTTTAACACTCTTTGCTCTGTGGCAAGATGCATTATCATCCTGAAAAATGACAATTTATCACCAAACTTCTTTTCTATTGATGGAATGAGAAAAGTGTCCAAAATTTCAATGTACACTTGTGCATTGACTGTTGAGGTAAGGATTGTCATTTCCTCTGGTCCTTTACCTGACATGCAACCCCATATCATAAATGAGTTGGGAAATTTGGTTGTTTTCTTCAGGCAGTCATCTTGCCACACTCCATGAGTGCTTCTCTTTAGCCCACTGTAACCTTGTTTTCTTCTGTTTAGGTGTTAATGCTGGTTTTCGTATGGCTTTTCTATATTTAAATCCCATTTCATTCAGCCGGTTTCTTACAGTTCTGTCACACACATGACTCCTGTTTCCGCCCATTTGTTTTTCATTTGTTTCGTTGTGCATTTTCTATTTTCAAGGCAAATTGCTTTGAGTTTTCTATCCTGACATTTTTGATGTCTTCCTTGGTCTGCCTGTATGTTTTCCTTTTGTAACCTTTTCATTTTGTTTATACTTGCACCAAATTTTAGAAACAGCTGACTGGGAACATCCAACTTTTTTTTGCCACACTCCGTGATGGATTTCCTTCTTGAAGGAGTATTATAATTGTTTTAACAAACAGTTCTCTTGTTGGGGCCATGCTTCCTTTCAATTAGCCAAGTCCAACAGCTCGTTAAGGTCTGGAAGCACTCTCTTTTAACTGCTGACTAATTAGCATTTTAGAGATGTGCCGGTATTTATTTCAGAAATGCAAATTACAAGCTGATTCCAGATTTTTTCCCCTCAACATTGAATGATTCCATAATTTTTTCCTCTACTTGATATGGAAAACAATTTTCCATTAATTAAAATGTTTTAATTTAATTTGTTTGAGGTATGTTTCACATAAACAAAGTGTTGAACTGTCAAGCAAAAATTGTTTTGTGTCATATCTGTGATTTGTTTATTTGTTATAAAGTCAAAACTTTGGGTGAACATCTTCTAAGTGTGGTGATTCCATAATTTTTGCCAAGGGTTGTAGGTGCATTCCTGCCACCTACTGGGCTGGAGCATGGAAAAAAAGTTCTAATATTCTTTAAATTCTATTAAATAGCCCTACTTTACTTGCATATCTCGTTAATGTAATATACTGTATATTTTATGAGGATTCAATCCATTACAGTGTTTTAGCTTCACATTCTCTGTTCACCGTAGCAAAACAAATGATCTGAATGAATGGTTTGAATGAATATAATGAATGTATGAATATATCCACACAAAATAAGTGACCCCCAATACATCTTAAGGAAAAACTTAGGTACAGAATGGAATGAGAGTGGAAAAGCTACTTATGTTGATACTTCAAAAACTCAGAAGAACTAGAATTTGCCTTTTCAGGTTAATTAAGAAAAAAAAACAGATATTTGGTACTTTGATTAGGTTTTTCTCAGAACAAATGAAGCTGCTTCAGTTCATTCTGGATAAAGGATGAAGATCCTAACCTGCAGATCGGATTTGGCTCCAGATCGCAAACAGTATTAACACTCTCAACATTAGTACGCACGAAGGCTGTTTACTCCGACGGTAAAGTTAAGCGACACAAGCTGCTTTTCAAACCCAGACCACCCACCCACCCACACACACACACACACACACACACACACACACACACACATTCTGTGCACGTACATACTCTGTACAATCAATAGCCTTTGGCCAATATCCGGAGAGAAGACCACAGAACGCTCTTAGTAACTGCTCTCTGCAAACAAAACAAAACAAAACAACACGCACACGCACGCACACACACACACACACACACACACACACACACTAAATGCAAAATGCACCAACATATTTAAACCCATTAATGGCAGTGATTTTCATTTACATTTACCCTTTTCTTTTGCAATTTCCAAAGAAGAAAGAATGTCATATAGGTTTATAACAGCATGAGGGTGAGTAAATTATGACATAGGCTTAATTATATTTTTTGGTTGAACTGTCCATTAAAGACAATGGAAACATTATGTCTGTGTTGTGTGACTGTTTCCTCCATCTCTCACTTACAAACCACATCCTGTGAAACTTGTCATATCACGGAAAACCATATCGCAATTACACAATTGGTTCATTCTCAAAACAACAACAAAAAAAGTTGACTTTGGCTTCTCTTAAAACACTAAAATCAACAAATTATGTCTTTAAAATAAAACTATTTAAGCAATTTATTGATTTAACATTACAGTGCAACAGATGACATATAAATGAACCAATATATATATATATATATAAAAACCGGACGAATTCCTTTAAATATATCATCTGATCGATGTCTTGAGGTGTGGTAACCGTAGTATCCGCTTCGCGTCGTGGCCGCATCACCAGCTCGGGTGTGCATTATTTTTCTAATAATTCAACGGCCCGTCATCAATTATTCCTTACACACATTATATATATATTTATTTAATCACTTTTTTTAATTTGGTGGGAAAATTACCATTGTCATGTTTGAACAGCCTCTTCCTCCACTGAACTTTGACCTTGGAAGTACTTTTAATTTTTGTATTTCTAGCTAGGTTTTTACATTGGTTACATCAAAGACAAGAACTTGAAGACAAATGTTGATTTTAAATCACTTTATTTGGAATTGCTTTGCACACTTGCTAGACCAATGCTTAACCTAGAAAGACAAAATAGGTCAAAATACATGAATAGTACATTTTATAGTGTAGAAGCAGTATATAGGTGAAGGACACCTGTTTTTTTCAGGCATTTGACATTCAGTAGTTGTACAGCCTTTTTCACTTTCACATCCTTTGTTGTAAAATAAAACTCCCATTGAGGACAGTTATACAAAGATTATGGCAGCTGCAGTTTTCAAGGTGATTAAGATAAAGCACCCACCTGCCATCTGGTTATAAACAGAATGTGCATGTTGTGTGTGAGGTGTTGGGTATTTTCCATACTCAGAAAAAAGGTTCAAGGCTGTCATTGGGGCATTACCTTTTCAAAAGGTACACCTTTGTACCTTACTTACCCTTAAAGGGTGCATATTAGTACCTTTAAGGCAGATATTATTAAATAAAGTGTACATAATAGTACCTAAATTGTACATATTAGTACTTTTTTGAAAATGTAGTGCCCAGTAACAGATTTTGTGCCTTTCTTGCTGAGTGCAGTACATCTGCTGTATACAAAATTACAAAAAAAAAAAGAGCATCAGTTTCAAACGTTTTTTGTGAAAGGTAGGTCACATGACAGTAACAACATGGACAATGTAGTATGTCTGAATTACATTCATATTAAATAAGCTTCAGCTCAAAGAATGTGTCTATGTGTTGGACTGTGGT